ATCCCTTCTTCTTCCTCTCTTTTGTTTCCTGCTCATGAGGTAAGTGATTTTGCTCTGCCATATATTTCCCCATGTTGTGCTGCCTTGCCACAGGCCCAAAGCACAATTCATGGATAGGAACTTCTAAAACTATAAGCCAAAATAAATTTTATCCTTTTATACATTGATTTATCTCAGGTATGTGTTATAACAATAGAAACTACTAATTCCTATCTACTAATTTCAACTACTAATAACACAAATTAGTAGTTGAAATCCCTGAAATATGCCATGTGAAAACAGGTAGAAATTCTATGCTACCTAGTGACTTCTGGAGTCTTAACCAGTTCTTATAGGAAATCAGTGGATCACCAGGCCTTGAAATATGATACTGTATTTAAAATTTTCATGTTAAATATATACATTTCAGTGGTATATATGTTAAATGTATAACACTTCAAAGGTCCCGAGTAGAAAACCATATGTATATTTTCATTTTAAACATATATATATATTGGACACATATGTATTTTGCAATGTGTTACTTAAAGGTATAAGTACATTATATAGAATTATGTAATGATTTGTCTGTCAAGCCTTATTTTTTAAAAAAATCTTTACCAAATGCCTTTTTTCCATTTGTCATTGGATATGTTTATGATAATAGTATCTAAAATTACTAAGTTTATGAGTAAAGTCTGAATAAAATATGAACTTCACAGAAAAAAAAAGGAATCATATATACCTGTACACAACTTATTCATGGAATAAATTAGGAAAAGTAGGTGTTATATATCAATGATTTCTTTCTTATACATACTCTCTAATTCTTTTCTGTTATGTACTCAAACAATAATAGCAAGAGAGTGCAAGGCACCCACATTTGTTGCTCTTTGGCTTCAAGAGAAATTAGAAGTTTTTAAATGGAGTCAGCCTCAGCTTGAGGGCTCTTGTCCAGGATGTCTTTCATATGCTTCAGTTCTAGGCCTGAAGGAGACTGTCATAGCACACATCAGTGGGAACCTTCTGGTACACTCTCCATGTATTTAATAGCATGGTGCTTATCCCTCAGTCACTGAAGTGAACCCCTTTCTGGAGGGTCACCCCTGGGCCACTGGTGGCTCTTTGCCTAGAATTGTCTGGGGAATGCTACCGCCTGCCCTGGAACAATGCTTAGCCACAGCTGAAAATCCTGAGCCCATTTTGAGGTCAAGCCAAGGCTGGTGGCCCAGAATTCCCTATGGGATTATTTGGCATGAGGCTTCACTTGAAACCACCTTCTTTCTTGTGTCTCTCCTGCTAATAGGTGATTTAATAAATCACTTACACACAGCTTCTTCTGATAGGCACTGCTTCTAAAGAACCCAACTTAAGACAACAAACTGTCTACACTTCTAAAAAGTCTCCCCTACCAAAACCAGTTTATCTCCCCATCTGTGGATACTGGTTCCCTCTGAACACCCAAGAACAGATAACAAATTGCTCTCTCTGTCTCCACCCATTCCCTTCAAGGCTGTTCATAGGACAGATAAGTTTCCTTGGACTTATTTCCCCCCTGAGCAAATTACTGTTCTAAAGGAATTAGGACTGGGAATCAAGATGAGAACCTGACTCATTGTGGGGTGACTTGTTCCACGGTAGGAGGATGAGCTCCTCTGCTACTTATTAAGCTGCCGCGAAGAGTACCCCAGGCTGCTGGCTTGTTACTAGTCAGTTTGGCTATTCTTGAACAGGGCAACCATTGTCATGAACAGGAGCTTTCTGACCTCAGAAAGCCTCTGGGTTGAGGATGACAGAAATATGTTCCAAGTTGACTCCTCAATCTTTAACGTCCTATAAGTAAGCTACTTCTGTACAACTGTTGCTTCCACAAGAGACATAGACTAGTTCCACCTGCCTTCTCCCAGCTAAGCAGACAATTAAGGGCAGACAAGTCCAAATCGAGAAGGGATATGGAGGAACATTTGTATTTGCTGAGTTTTATCTCTCTTCATTCCAAAACCTCTGCCATCTTTCATCCCTAATCTCTCTCTCTCTCTCTCTCTCTCTCTCTGTCTCTCTATCACACACACACACACACACACACAAATTGCTACTGCACCTCCAAAATCCAAAGCATATTGCATACAGAAAAAAAAAAAAACTTATTTTTCCTTCTCCATTCTGACCATCAAGAGTGTGGGTTTTGGGGCTGGGGTTGTGGCTCAGTGGTAGAGCGCTTGCCTAGCATGTGTGAGGCACTGGGTTCGATCCTCAGCACCACATATAAATAAATAAAAAATAAAAATTCATCAACAACTAAAAAATATTTTTTTCTCCCACACTGATCAATTTCCCAACACCAACTGCTTTTCTATAATTCAGTTCATTTCTGACACTAACTGGAGTTAAGTTCAGACCCCTCAACAGGTTAAGGGCTCATTCCCACAGTAATTCTCCCCAACTCTAGATGCCAATCACAAGCAGTAGCCCCCCAATCTACCCACAGCTTTGGTCTGACATGGCTACAAATCCCTTTCTCAGGTTCATTTGCTTGCTAGTCATTGGATTGCTAGAGTGACTATTTTTACAAAAAGGATACAACTCAGGAACACCCAGATAAAAGTGATGCACAGAGCAAGGTGTGGGTGGGAGGGGTAAGGAGCTTCCATCTCTCTGGGCACGCTTCCTCTAGTCTGCCAGCCAACCCAGAAGCTTTGTCCTTTAGGGGTGATTTATGAAGGCTTCATTATATAAGCATGATTGATTAAATTAGTGACTGTTGGTAATAAATTCATCCTTTCAGTACCTCTTTACTTCCTAGAGGTATAAGGGTAGTTTCAACCCACTAATAATGGTTGGTTCTTCTGCCAATATCCACCCTCTACTCCAGCATGAGGTCCTCCAGGAGCCAAGAGTCATTTCATTACTATACAAGAAAACACATCCTGGAGAGCATAAGGGTTTTGGAAACTCTGTGCCAGAAACGGGCCTGAAGACAAAATGTACATTTCTTATCATAAATCACAATATCATAGACATGTTCTGGGTCTTCCATTTGCAGGGTTCTCCCCTCAGTTAGTCAGGATGTTTCATGGTAATAAGGAGCTAATATCTAGCCTTCTCAAACTCAGTGATGTAGACAGCCAGTGACACAAGGGATGAGTCACAGTGCAAAATATGGTTCCTTTTCCTTAAGCTCAATTCTACTCAGAGAATTTACATACATACACATACACATACACATGCACACACTAACTATATATATATATATTATATAGTAAAATTCAAATTTGAATTTTTTTTCTGATACCAGAGATTGAACCCAGAGGTGCTTTACCACTGAGGCACATCCCCAGCCCTTTTAAAAAATTTTTTATTTTTTTAAATTTTGAGATAAGGTTTCAATAAGTTGCTTAAGGCCTCTCTAACTTGCTAAGGTTGACTTTGAACTTGTGATCTTTCTTCCTTAGCCTCCCTAGCTCTTGGCATTACAGGTGTGCGCCACCATAACTGGCTAAATTTGAATTGTTTCTAATGAATGTAAAAGTGCAAAACAATTTTATACCAGTACTACTTCGGACAGTGGCCCCAGACCTCTAGTCAGGGCCAATTTGTCCTGCTATGGTCTGAATTCTTGTATCACTCCAAAATTCATATGTCAAAATCCTAATCCCCATGGTGATGACATTAGGAAGTGGGGCCTTTGGTAGGTAACTAGATCATGAGAGCAGAACCTTCAGCTACGAGATTTGTGCCCTTATAAAAGCTGCTGGAGGGAGCACATTTGCCCTTTCCACTTGTGAGGGCACAGTGAGAAGTCAGCAGTCTGCAGCCTGGAACAGGGCCCTCACCAGAACCTGACCATGATCCTGGCACTCTGATCTCAGAAATCCCAGCCTCTAGAACTGAAAGAAATAAATTTCCATTTTTCTAAAATCCACCCAGTCTATGGCATTTTGTTACAATATTTCAAATGAACTAAGACATACTCACAGAATAGTAGACACCATGCCCAGGGCCCCACAATACTTGTAGAAGTACATGAAAGTGTTTGTTTTTTTATTTTCTTTTGGGGGGTACCAGGGATTGAACTCAGGGGCTCTCGACCACTGAGCCACATATCCAGTGCTATTTTGTATTTTGTTTAGAGACAGGGTCTCATTGAGTTGCTTAGTGCCTCACTTTGGGTGAAGCTGGCTTTGAACTCGTGATCCTCCTGTCTCAGTCTCCCAAACCACTGGGATTATAGACATGCACCACCATGCCCAACATGAAAGTGTTTTTAATTTTAAAATCAGAAAGAAATAAAACAACTTTTAGGTTGAGCAAAGTGTTCTAATACATAATATCAATATTTTTGAGTATAGACATTGGTCTGTAAAGGCAGAGAGTGCTTAGGGCCCCTGCTCCAAGAGCATACTTTCAGTATACACAAGAGCATACTTTCAGTATACAGTAAAAACTTGCGGAAAACTCTGAATTTTCAATATCACATTCTTTCGATTAATCATTTTTGAGAACTAAAGACTTTAAATTCTGAGGTAAAGAATTCCTAATGGTAGAATCTCATACATCTTGAACAGCAGTGGGATGGATTTACGGAACAGGGGCTCCTGCTGACCACACCACAGATCCCACTGTGTAAAGCAGTCTATACTGAAGAGTACTTTGCTTTGGCACAAGCCACCAATTCAGTCCCAGATACCATGACCAATATTCACAAAGAGTGGCAGATCCTCTTGCATGAATCTGTCTACTAAGTCATAAAATCTTAGAACTTAGAACAATGTTTGGTCCTAATAAGCCCAACCCTCCACCAATGCAAAAGTGTGTGTCACCACTTAGCCCCAATTTGAGCACATCCTGACACTGTCTTCATCTGAGTTTCAAAGCAGTTTCTCTTTGTGTTATTGTCTTGCAAAGAAGGTAGCTGTGAAAAAATGCAGAGACACAAGATGGTTGTGTATATAGCTGGAAGCTTTCTGAATGAACGTACCACTGGGCATTCGGAGCCAGTGATGGTGGATGAGCTACAGAGTTTATGCAGTACCCACGAGGACCATTGTGGTCTCATCATCCTGGGGGCAGGGTTCCAGACCATCATCCACCACCTTGTGGAGAGTGCTATAATGTTGCCGGTTTTGGTGGAAAGAATGCAGCTCTGAAGCAGCTTCCCAAGCAGCAAAGGTGGGCAAGGGAAAGTCACTCGGCCTCTTGTTTTCAAAAAAGCATTTCAGGTTCCTCTCACTTAGCTTGGTGGCATAGTCCACAAATGTATTTTCCAACTGCTCCTTCTCCTTTTCCGTATACGTCTTCCAAAAACTCAGCTGCAGATAGCTAACTTGAGATCGGCAACGTGCATAACAAGTGGTGAGCAGAGAGAAGAAAGATGCTGAACAAATCAGGCACCATCCTAGAATCTTAGGAAGAAAAAAATATGGAGGATATGTATAAGTAAAATCCATTCTCAGGGAGCTGGGATGGTGTACGGCTAAATTAACCAGGGGGAGCATATAGCTAAGTTGATAAGTCATTACCATACCTCATTTCAAATCATTCATCTTAATTTTAAACACTTTTTAAACAGTCAACATGAAGTTAGAGTTTACCTAATATCTGTTCTCCTACCCAACATCGTTGCCATGCAAAGAAATAACCAAAAAGCCAGCAAATGGAAAAGAATAAAAAGTATGGTTTATCCCAGAATTGGATAAATCAAGTGCCCCCCAAATATTAGCTATTAGAAGGAAAAATTCTATGCATCAGTAATTGTGATCATTTGAACAATGACCAGTTCATTAGTCAGGTGTCTTAAGCATTGATAAATGTGTGTTGTATACATGGTAGAGGCCAATTTTACCATGTGACATTGTTTGCAAAGAGCAGCAGACACTCTGGAAGAAAAGTCATTACTTACTGCCTGTGGTAAATGGAAGACAGACATAAGAAGGACACTTTAAAGCCTCTCTAAGTGCCAAGAAAAAAAAATTGGGGTCATTCCAAATTTTGAGAATAATTCGTCTGAATTTTGGTAATTAGAAAAACAAAATTCATATCCTCTCTGATAAGAAGGGTCCCACTATATTTCTAGTTTTTAAAGCAAGTCTACATATCTCAATGTAAAGCCTAAATATTTTTGTTGTTCAAATTGTTTTCCATAATTGAAATTAATTTTATATTTAATTAACAACTAATAGATCTCTTTGAAATCATCTCAACATTTAATTCAAATGACCCTTAGTATCCCTTAACAGATGGGCTCATATGAAAATAGAATAAAAATCTGCAAATGAACCCATTTAGAGCAAAACAGAACCACAATAAATTCCATTTCAGTGGTTCCCAACCTCTCACTCTCAGATGAGGGATTACTGTAAAGGGTCTCAGCCTCTGCATGAACTCCAGCTCTGCATTGGCCTATTTGGTTTTAAACCCTAGCATTCCCCTTGCTATGGATGTTCCCTGTGCCTTGGTTTCCTCAACTGTAAAATGGGGGTTACCCATCTCAGAGGGTATTTGGGGGGATTCAGTGAAAAGATGTCGGACACACAAGTACATTAGGTATTATCACATGCTATTTTTCGAATGTATATACATTTATAGAAAAGTGTTACTGAACTGATAATATCTTTCTATACTTATGATTAATGAGGTAAAACAACCATCATGTGAAAGTCCTCATATTTACTTCAGTCATTTGTGGACTTGTGGCTTCCTACTTCTTTCCTCTAACTTCCTCTTTCCTTACAACTTAGGCTTCTGAGCTAATTCTAGCTCAGAAACTGTATGATCAGCTTCAGATCCTCATCTTTCTTAGGCTTGACCTTAGCATTGACCTGCTCTCACCTGAGTGCTGAGCACTGAATATTTTTGTCCTTCTCCTCAATTCACATTATCCACATTTCCAACTACAGTGTGGTAGATGCTTCCACCCCAGCCCTTATTAGTGTCCTGTGTTGCATAAGTCTCCTTCCCCAAACCCTGGCAGTTTTCTCAAGAACTTGAAAACCTATGTGTTCTAGAAGCTTTGTGCTAGACCTTCCAACTACAGTCCAATGTAGTTGTTATTATCCCCCATTATGAAAAAACTGGTGCTCAGAGAAGTTGAAACACAAGTTCTATGTCACATAGCTCATGAGTGGGAGCATCAGGATTCAAACCCAAAGCCAGTTAACTCCAAGTCTTGATCCATTCCACTACTCCAGTTGACTGTCCTTAATAATAGAGTCATCCAGCTGGATTTCTTGTTGCTCTGCCCCACCCAGGGATGAATGTACTTTTCCCACTCCCACCCACATGCCCAATTATTGGTCTGAACTGTATGTTGCCTTTTGCCTATCTGAACCTCATGGTCAGCACCTGCTATTGCCACAACTCCCTGTGTCCACATCTCTGGGGCATCTTCCCATAGGAATCAGCCCCAGGTCTTTCTCATTCTGCTGAAAAGTCAACATGTCATTGTGCCCAGTCTCAGCTATGACAGGATGTGCATGATTTCCTTGTGCCTGTGTTTAGAGAAGAAAAGCTTACACAGTGATAAGTGTTTGGACCTGGCACTGACTGAATGGAGCCTGGTGCCTGAGGACATAAACCATAAATCATTCATTCTGCCATAACATTCGTAATTAATACCTTCCTTCAACAAAAGATGGAAGACATTTGGGAGCCTGACATGTTTTATCTAAGATGTACTTTATGTTCTAAACAAAAGATTTTGTTTGAGGTATTTTTTTGGCTTATCAGTTTATAAAGAAAGTATAACTTTACTGCCAACCAGCTTTGGAAAATATGATTTTAAGAACAGAGTTTGCTGTTTGTGTTGTAAAGGCAAATCTTTGTCAAAAAAGCAAAATCATACTCTTTTCAGTACATTTATTCTGAAACAAACAGTATTCCTGCCAAATTGTAGACAGTAGACAAATCTTTTTGTCTACTGCTTATTTTGGTTTGGGGAATGCATTTCCTACTACTCACATTCTTTTCCTAAAGCCAGGGAAGGGCTGTACATCTGGATTTATGTTCATATACCTGGACAGATGGTAGCTACTTCCCTGCATCAATTAGGTGAAGCTACAATTTTCTTCCACTAAATAAAACAAAATTCCACATCTTGAGCTTCTAAAGAAATGCAAGAACTTTTTTAGCTGTATGACACAAAGAGTAAAAGACATAATCTCCATTGAGAATATGGTCAGTTTTCACTATTTAAGACTTCAGAGTCCTACGTTGTATAGAAAATTCTTCTCAATCTTGACAATATCTTTACATGGAAATAGCAATCACCAGAACCACTCAAGTGAATCCCTACACTAATTATATTGCATACAACTTTAAAAAGTAGTAGCTCATTTGGTTCAGCTGTATTTTAATAGATGGATAAGCTGTGCTTATGTTTCAAGAAAGCAGAGAATGAATATTTGATAGGAGTTAGTAATTTTTAATTACTATTCCGCCATTAACACTCAGTTTGTGATTTGGTGTTATGCATTATTTACAAAGTCATCCCAGAGAGATTGCTTTAAAGTACTTAAGCATTTACATATACATAACCCAGAGGATATTTTCTTTTTGGAAATGGAAAAGATATAATCCAATCAGCGATTTTACTGAGCCATCCAACTTCTAAAAAGCTTTTCCTGAGATTGTCTTACTGCTGCATCATGTTCCAATTTCCATTTAGTTTCAAAATATTCTGGCAGAACTCAGACTCCACCTTCAAGCTCATGCGGGGAGAAACAGGCGAGTTTGTTCTTACCTGAGACTGGGCTTGAAGGGACAGTTTCACTTCTTCATTCTCCACGGGTAGCATGCTAGTTTTGTCACAAGACACTTTGTATAGTTCTTCCCAGCACTCCTTGGGCTTGCCCTGGCAAATCAGTCCCAGGAGTCTTGAACTTTTCGTCCCACTCATGGCACATTCATAAAAAGTTCCATTAAGCAAAGCCACAGAGAGCCACATCACTGGAGCCACCAATGAACTCAGAGTGATCTGGCCCAGGACATAGAAGAAGCGGTAGCTGTGACCCCTAGGGAAGATTTTCCTGGGGTTCACACAGCAACCTGTGAAGAGTTTCCATGCTTTGTTGTTCACAAAGAATCCTAGGATCAGTAACACCCAGGCAGGAGCAAAAAGGAAAACCAACCCATAGACCGTATTCTCAGAGCTGCAGGGGCACTTAAAAGCCACAAGTGAAAAGAGACGCTCACCTCCCAAGGTCAGTAAAGCCATGAAGCTGTAGCCAATAGCAGTTTTCTGGTTAAGAAAGAATTTTAACATGCTCTGAAAAGCATCCATGTTGGTACACAAAGAGGGAAAATGCTTTGCCCTTGCTATTGACTCCGCAGCTGTGGCAGTGGCCGAGGGTGGAGCTCTTTCTTCATTAGAAACAACAGTCCTCCTTCTCAGGCCGAATTCAGCCAGATAAGGAAACAATGTCATTCCCTAGGAATGCATATTTCCCAACAGTGTTCAGATAATGCCTCCTACTGGTGGATATTGGGCCATGGAAGGGCAGCCTAAACAGAGGGATTTAGAATATAATTCAAAGTGCACAAGCTTCCTTTTAATATTATTTCCATGTGGCTTAGATTGAAAATCAGAAGGAAGTTCTGGCTAAGATGTACAATAGTCTAGAAACTTTCCAACAGGATGAATCAACACTAGCAGAAATGGGTTTCTGCCATTTGATGGGGAGCCAAATCCAATGTCCAAACACAGAATTTCACCATGGTCTGTCTGTCTCTCTCTTTCTTTCTTTCTTCCTTCTTTTTCTTTTTTTCCTCTTACTATATGGCTTAAGATTTGGAAGACAGGAATTCATTTTATGTCTTCTTAAAACTGCACAGTTTAGAGACTTGAGCCATATCTTAGGATTTGGAATATTTAACCTATATGGAAAAGCTTGGGGAGAGTTTGAGTTTTAAAGAAAAAACAAAACAAGAGGGGTCTTCATCATTACTTCTTTTTGGGGGAGGGGGTATTTGTTATCGAAGTCAGGGGCACTCAACCACTGAGACACATCCCCAGTCCTATTTTATATTTTATTTGGAGACAGGGTCTCATTGAGTTGCTTGGTGCCTTGTTTTTGCTGAGGCTTTCTTTGAACTTCAATCCTCCTGCCTCAGCCTCCTGAGCTGCTAGGATTACAGGCATGTGCCATTGAACCTAGCTGATCATCACTTCTTTCCTAAGTCATCATGGTAACCTCTAGATTAGTATCTCTCCTTTTGACTTTATGCCCATCCCACCCATAACCCTAAATCCATCCTACATACTGATGTGAAAGAGATCCCTCTAAAACAGAAATCCAATGCTGCATAGCTTTTTCACATCTTTAGGGATCCCACTGCCCACAGATTGAGAGATACGGACCTCCCTTGAACCTCATCATGATACCTCATGCCAGGACATATTCCTGCTACCTAGAGTATAATAGAGTGGCCCCTGTCCCCATCCCACCTCATCTGCCTGACAAAAACTCACTTATACTCCTATATTCCAGTTCTAAATATGGTGTCAAACTTAGATCAGATGCTCATCCAATAATTTATTTTGAAAATGGCTATTGAACTCCCACTGTGTGCCAGGCACTGTGCTAGACTGGCTGTGCTCAGTAAGTACCTATTGAATGAATGAATAAACTTCTTAGTACTTCAAATTAGAAATAATTTAAGAAAATAATTTGTATTTCTATCCTGTATACTGCTCTTGATTTAAAAATCAAATCAAGGGATTTGGAATATTTAGCTTATATATTTAATATTTAAATTAAATCAAGTCATTTGAAAAATGACAACACATCGAACTAATAAATTTCCATTAATAAACTTTAGAACCCAGGCCTATGTGTTTTGTGAAAAGAAATTGCCTTGGACTAGAAACCAAACAATTAAGTTATACTGAGGTCTTAGTGTGTCATTTTACTTCTCTCCAGTATACTCATTTGTGAAACTAGGGGTTTAAAGAAATAGTCTCTAAAATCTCTTCCATTTTTATATTATAAAATTCTTCATGTCCTATGAAACAATTTTATTTATTTATTTGTTTTTATTAGTTACACGACAGTACAATGATCTTGACATATCATACATTTGAATCCAATGGGGTATAATTTCTCATTTTTCTGGGTGTACAGGTTACAGAATCACATTGGTTATACAGTAACATATAAACAATTTTTGAGAATAACGTTGTCACTCATTTATGTTTTTCTCATCCCACCACTATCCCTTTCTCCTTCTCAGAGACTTGTTATCTACAGTAATATAATTTCCTCTCCAACCCCAAATACACCTTGGCTTTAATCTGCCCTCGGCATCTGTTGCTCTGACCATGACCTTCCTATTGTGGCAGATATGTCCTAGATACCTTCTAATTCAGGATCCTATCATTTTCTATGATCAGTGTGCCAAATACCATGTTAATATGTTTACAATGAATAATATTTTAGTTTCTTACCCTCCTAGAGGATATACATATTTTTAAAAAACATTATTGAAAATAAAGCTATGTAATTTTCACGGAAACTTGTCCCTTAGGATGTTCCATAAAACAAAAGGATTTTACATTTTCACATGGCATAGAGTCAAAAATTGCAAAACTAAGTTGAACCCAAATGTCCTATGCTTAACCCTTGTGCTATAACACCTATAATCAGGTATTTGGTTGTCCTAATACATATCTGTTCTAGACCAAGTGGCAATAATTTATTTTTCTCTTTATTAGGTCGCTTTCAAGATGTACTTGGGAATTACACCAAGTGTCACCTGTAACAATGCAAGCAGAAATGAGTTTTCCCTGATTCTAGACAAGAATCCTCTGGCGGAGTTTGTGGAAGAGCTCCCTGCTGGGCGATCTTCTTTGTGCTACTGCAATTTACTCTGTGGGGTTATCCGAGGTGCCCTGGAAATGGTAAAGCACATACTTCATGTTGCCAGGTGTATTAGTTATCTAGTGCTGTGTAACAAATTGCCTCAAAATATAGCTATAGCAACTTAAAATAACACACCTTATAATCTCACACAGTTTCTAAGCATCAGAAACCTGGAAGCAGCTGAGCTGGGGTTGTTGTGGCTCCAAATTCTTCACAGCTTAACACAATGCATTCAAGCTGTTGGCCAGGGCTACAGCCCCTGAAGACTTAGCTGAAACTGGAAATTATATTCCCAAGCTCTCTCAGATAGCCTCAGGGCCTTACTGGCCATTGGCTCTGGGCTTCCTGAAGGCACTTGTCACATTAGACATCTCTGTAGATCTAATCACAACACGGCAGCATGTGTAGCCACCCACCACCCATGGTGCAACATGGGAGGATACCACCTGAGGGCATAAGTACCAGGAGGTGGGGATCCTTGCCGGCCATTTTGGAGGCTGATTGCCACACCTGAATTTGAATTTTTCATTAGTTTAACTGAGACACCTAGTAGCATCTATTAAGTGTCAGGCACTGAACATGCAAATAGGAATAAGATACCAATGCTGCCCTTAAATTTTTTTCTGTACAGTAGAAAAGTTGTAAGTGTATAGAAGTGTGATAAAGGGCTATAGGAGAATATGGGGCAGGAGAAACTTTCTGGACTTCTGAGCCAGCTTTTGAAGACAAAATTGGAGCCAAGTGAAGCTTCTGGGTAAGGAGAGCAGGGGAAAATAATATTCCAGGCAAAGAATCAACATGTGCAGAGGCTCAAGAGATTGTTTCTTTCAAAGAACAAGGAGTTATCTCTGTATGACTGACATGAGGAGTCAGACAGAGATTGTCATAAGAAGCCGGATAAAAGAAAGGAATTCAAACCTTTACGTGGAAAGTATCAGAGAGCCAGCATAGGTTTACAAACAAGGAAAAGATACTTTGAAATTTTTGTTTTAGGAATTTCATTCCCTTGTCAACCACAGAGCATGCACAAGAGGGAATACTTGGGGGGAGGGAGATGAACAGGAAGCGGATGATGATGATACCATTAAGTAAACCTGGAGAAAGCCTGCCAGTGGTGATGTAAATGAGAAGACCCAAGAGAACAATATTATGAAGGTAGGACAGGTAAGATGAGGTTGTCAATTGGCTGAAAGGGACAAGATTAAGAAAAATGATTTAAGAATGGCTTTTAGATTTCAGGATAACCTGCAGGGAAGATTGAAAAGAAAGCAAAACCAGGAGGAGTACTTTTGAGGTTGGAAGATACAAAGTGAGGAGATCAGTTTTGATCATGCTGGGATTGAGGTGGCTAACATACAGTGAGGACATTCGGGAAGAAGTTGTTTATGTGTGTCTGGGGCTTACAGAGAGATGTGGCCCATAAGAGGTATGGAAACTGGCAAATGATGCCCAGGGAGGGCTGTGGAGCAAGAAGAAAAGGGAGCCACAAAATAACTCTAGGAAATAGCAAAATATAATGAGTAAATTACATAGAGAACACAAGGACCCAAAGGATGTAAAGGAGTAACCAGAGGTAGGAAAATAACAGGAAAAACAGAGTAACAAAGACAAGGGGAGAAGTATCTTCCAGAAAAGAGAGAAGTGAACAAGATCAAGTTCATCACAGAGGTTAAGTAAAACAAGACCTGAAAAAAGAGTCACACCATTAAATGAAAGATCAGAGAGGCCTTGGTAAAAGCTGTTTTGGAAAAGTGTAGGGAGAAGAAGACAATCTGTTATAGACTGATAAGTCAATGAGAGCTTAGGAAGAGGGATCAGTCAACAACTTTTCCAAAAGCTTCTCTATTAAGAATGGTGGGGCCAGGTAGTGATCAAAGACTAGACATGTGTTGACCCATGAGCCATGCATGCAATTTTTAATTATTTTTGATAATTATGGGAAGGATAAAGTAAGAGGTGATCCAAAAGCATAAAATAATAGAAATAGTGTGTTCTTTTAGGCTTATCCTGTATCATCAATAGCAATGATACCAGGAAAGGGAGAAGGAAAGTTCTGGGAGTTTACAGGCAAAGGAAGAAACCACAAAACTAAATCAAAGTAAGATAAAGAAGTTTTCAGCTTTCATGGATGACAGTTAATTATTATGCTGAAAGAGAGATAAATATCAGACATCATTATGACCCCAAATACCCAAAGAGCTTCAACATAGTCTCCTTATTTTAGTTGATTTTATGTTAAAATTTGACAAAGGCATGAAAAATCTTATGGGGAAAAAAACCTAGAAGGTAAATTTAGCTTTTGTATTTGAAAGTGCAATCTACATTCTTCTGTTACCTGGTCGGCACCACAAGGTCCATATACTCTGTAAGCCAGATTATTTATGGAGGTCTGTGGTTGAAAAATCCAGTCTGATAAGCTTAGGCATTCTTAGTGAGAGATTTGATCAGATAAGTTTCAATAAATATTAATCAATTGTCTGCTAGACCCAGGCATTTTTCACTTATTGTGTTCTTTTACTAGGTACTTTCACTTATTTATCCCAATGACTTAAAATAACTCTGGACAAATACTCTATTGAGGGTGGGTCAGCAATATCAGGCTGCTTTTATTTTGAATACAATTTAATGAATAGAGAAGTAATTCCTGAGGCTCTCTTCAGCGCCTAGAAAATGGGAAATGCTTTAGAAAGGAAAAAAAAAGTCCTGAACATCAAATATTCATGTCTATAATTTCAATATCTTTAATTTTATATGTATAATTTATTTAGTTGATATTTTTTTCAAAGCTCTCAAAGCCATAAGTGATTGCTAAATGTTATTAGTATAAGTGATTATGTTGTTTTGCTAATGACAGAGTGATTTATGGTAAATCAGTTTGAAAGGAATCCTTTAAGAATCCATTTATCCTTGGAAGTTCTGCTTGGCCAAGCACATCGAGTCAGGGCTATATTTGAGTAGGGAATTTGAGTTCTATGTGAGATGAATCCATAGTTCAGCCCTGCTCTGTGAACATAGCTGGGCATGTCCCATGCATTTGGGCATCCTAGCCATCCAAGCTGGGCCAGGCGTGGCCTACTCCTGTCTCAGCTGATTCACACCACAGAGGTGATATGTGACCAAACTGTCTCTGGAGGACAGTCAGGGCTCTTCAAACCTAGAACAAGTTCTTTTTTATATTTCCATACAGAAAGTAAAGAAAGCTGAAAAAATAGATTGAGAAAAATTTAGAGATCTTTTTTATAATTGAACAGGCCTATTTTTTTCTTCTTTTTTTCTAGGTTCATTTGTCTGCTGATGTTTCATTCTTACAAGACAGACTAAAAGGTGACAAAGTGACAGAAATAGGAATAACATTTCTGAAAAAGCTAGACGAGAAAAAATATAGACGGAAAAAATGAAGAATAATGTGCAAAATGTGACAGAGTGGCTAGTTGAGGAGTGAATATTAGTGAAACACATACGGCTTCAGAAATTTTGAATTGCTTTATAGCATGAGCTTTGAAAGGCTTATAAATCAACCAGAAATTTAAAATGCAGAGCATGTGGATTTTCTTTTTCATATTTTCAACCTCACATTCATAGTATTTCATATACAGATAACTTTCTGCGATTAATTCTATATATTACACAATCCATCCTCAAGGAGTCTATTCATTTCATTAATAGGAGAAAAAAGGCACCACCTATAGAAACAGTGTATTATCTCTTTTTAGTAGGACAATGGATGATTTGATAGAGCATAGAGTTCATTACAGAGAGACAGTTTCTAGGTACTGTATATTGCATTCTCCAGAGAAATAGTTCCACTTGTAACACTTTTCCATATTTTCAAGAAATTATGGATTTCATATTTCTTATATATTATCATATAGCTTTAACTTCCTGAAGCTACTCTTGAATTGTAACCACCAAAACAAGTTATTGATTTGTATGCCAATTCAGAATCATTTAAAAATAGCATTTAATTTTTATTCACTTAGCTAGAATTAACAAAACCCCTTCATTTTTTTCATGTACTAATGACAACCAGTCAGGAAATCTCTAAAAATGAATGGTAAATAATGTTCTTTGAAGAACACTTTCTAACTCCAAAGTTTATTTACTTTGAATTTTTACTATCATTTTTAATCCCCTAAAAATCTTCCAAAGAATATTTTGTCTGTGGTCAGAACATATTTAAAATTCAAAATGAACCGCATTGTTAAATAGACAGTAATCTTTGCCAGACCATCAGTACACAAGAGCAGCCTTGAACACAGCCCAGAAATTAGTACTGCAGAGAACTCAGAGTACAAGTAAAAGTTATAATTAGCAGGGCTCCATGAATTAAAACTTGGGTCTGGTAGTGATAGAGGTCAACTAGGACTTGAGGAGCCTGATGATCCAATCCCAATTGTGTTTCCAGTGGCATCAGCTAATCCTGACTAGTGTGGCTAATCCTGGGCAACACACCTCTCTCCTTTCCTCCCACCCTTTAAACATGAGGGGATTGGATATGATAAATATCTAAAAAAAAATCAGTGTGTTTAAATGATAAAAATGACCTCTGAAATTCCACATTTGGAGATATTAAAAGATCATAAGAAAATTGTTTATTCCTCATCTATCAGTTGTCTCTTTGAAGGCTATTGAGGTAGACCCAAAGGACCAGAGAGGGTCCCTGAGGCAGCTGCAGCATCATGGAAAGTCCTTCAGGTCTGTGGCACAGAAGATGAGTATAATCTTTTTTTTTTCTTTAATTTTTTATTGTTGGCTGTTCAAAATATTACATAGTTCTTGATATATCATATTTCACACTTTGATTCAAGTGGGTTATGAGCTCCCATTTTTGCCCCATATACAGATTGCAGAATCACATCAGTTACACATCCATTGATTTACATATTGCCATACTAGTGTCTGTTGTGTTCTGCTGCCTTTCCTATCCTCTACTATCCCCCCTCCCCTCCCCTCCCCTCCCCTCTTCTCTCTCTGCCCCCTCTACTGACATTCATTTGTCCCCCTTGTATTATTTTTCCCTTTCCCCTCACTTCCTCTTGTATGTACTTTTGTATAACTCTGAGGGTCTCCTTCCATTTCCATGCAATTTCCCTTCTCTCTCCCTTTCCCTCCCACCTCTCATCCCTGTTTAATGTTAATCTTCT